GTTAGACATACGCTGCAGTGGGACTCTCCAGCTCAGCCACTGTCTGCACTCACCCAGCACAGCTCACATGCCCTCCTCTTAAGCACATTGCTGAGCAGTTCTGGTTTCATCGGAGTAAACATAGGACTTCCTAAAACCCGTGTCAGTTCGCCTGTGATGGCCACCCAGTCAGAATACAACTCAAATACACAGCACACCCAAACTGCTCAGTGCTCACCCTCTTGTTCCCATCTGAAGACTGAAAGCACATTAGAAACTCCTTTTTGTGTGTTATTCCAATGGCCAAGTGGCTAATGTCACTTTGTCAATGAAGAAGACCTCAGCTTCCACGCGGAAAGTTCTTCAAAGACATTTCAGCACTCGCCAGATCATCTGGTTCCCTCTCTGTGCCGTTATAGAGACATGGAAAAAACAGATGAATTGGCCCGTATCAAGTTTACCTTCGAGTGGAGAAGTGCCATTTGGTTTTTTGTTTGTTGTATTTTTTTATAGAGTCTGAGGTAGACCAGACTGGTCCTGAATTCACTATGTAGCCAAGAACAGACTTGAACTCCTGATCCTCCTGAGTGATGGGATTACCTGCAGAGCATCGTTTGCTTCTCTGCAGAAGCAGGCCCTGAGACAAGGACGCCGTGTAGACACAGATAGAGCAAGAAAACATTTCAGCAACTTCTAACCTGCAACGACAGGCTTGTCTCGCTGCGTGTGGGACAGATCAGCTGGAGCAGGGTCAAACTGGTGTGAAAAGTCGTAGACGAGGACAGGGGTAACTATTTGAATGTTAGTTTGCCAACTATAAACGTATCCTATAAATTATAAACATCTGAGAAATCATTTGTTCGTTTTTAAAACCGGATAATTTCAATTCTTTCTACCTTTAGCAGACTTGCTTTGAAACTTAGCTTGACATTATGGGTTAAATTACAGAATGTTATGTTGTTTATTTTCTCAGGTCTATCAAAGTGGGATTTTTGTACATTCACTGTTTGAAGTACTAGGTCCTGTGAGCCTGACAAATGAATGCAAGCTTTGTTCCCCTCCCTACAGTCAAGAAGACTATAAACTGTGACGAGTACACGTCTCTTTCATGCCCCCTGTAGCTCATCCCTCTCTCTGAAAAGCACTCACGAAATCAGTCTGTATATTTTTTGTCAAGAGTGCCTTAAAGAAGGGATCTCAGTGGTCTTTCTGTCTGGATTCTTTACCTCAGCACCATGCACTAAATAAAATCCATTTACAGAAGGTGCTCAGGCTCAGTGAAATAGGCCAGACTCAGAAAGATAAACACGGCATTTCCTCCTCTCATCTGAGCATGTGTGTGGATGTGCATGTATCTATGTGTGCAGGCATGTATATGTGTGTGCCTCTGGCGTGTGTGTGTGTGTGTGTGTGTGTGTGTGTGTGTGTGTGTGTGTGCATGTAAGGAAAAAAGAAGAAACATTATTCTGGAAACAGGAAAGGTATCACAAGAGGGAAGGAGGAGCAAGAGAGAAAAATAGGAGTGAATATGATCATGATATACATGAATTAAAATGTCATTACAAAATAATGAAGATATAAAAAAAAACAGTACAAAGCAAAATGCACAAAAACTTTAACTCGTTGCCTTTAAAACCTGTATTGTTTTCTTACCATTAAGTGTTGAGTTGCTTGGCTGTCCACTGGTTTTACTTCCCCAACCTGTGACTTGCCTTTTCACCCTTACCCCCACCTCTCAAAGAGTAATTGGTTTTGATTAGGACAGTGCCAAAGCACAGTTGTTCCCGTGGTTGAGGAGCTGAAGTTTTAAACTTGATTTTGAACTTAAGCTGCCATATGTGGCTAGCGGCTACCGAATTTGACTGCACGGTATAATAATGCCTAAAGAAGCTTTGGCAAACAATGGGCATATGTTCTTTAATCACATCTGAACATGTCCATCCCCAGTGGTTTGGAAATCTGTAAACCTGGTCCTTTGCCATAGATAGTGTGAGACACCCTGATCCGGACAGGTAGTACAGCATGGGCAAAAGCCCTGTCTTCCCCGAAGGCACATTTTTCTTTGTAAATTCATGAAGTAGCATTCTGAAGAAGGAAGTGACTGATTGGTTTGGAAGTTGAGGACTCTTCTTGACAAGGTGGTCAGGGGAGCAGCTGTAAGAAAATTATCACTTGGTGGCTTCCAACAACCAACAAAAACTATTTTATAGTCTAGAACACAAACATTCAAAGTCTAATGTGTTGACAGAACCCAACTCCTCTTAGAGTTTTAGGAGACAATGGGTTCCTAACTCCTTCCTGCTCTTGTTGGCTACTAGTGACACTTGGTCGGAGGCTGACTTGCTCCATGTCTTCCCTCTGAGAGTCCGTTTGAACAATACAAACCAGTGAGGTTGATTTCAAATAGAGCTCCTTTATTTCATTCTAGCTGAAAAGACTGCCTTTCCCAACGAGGTCATATTCATGGGTTCTGAGAATCAGAACATGTTATCAGGCACCGTTCTGCAAAACCACTGAGCCCACTACCCGCTCCGTACAACAGTCTGGAAACTCTCCAGGCAATGGGCTGGAGAATCAGGAAGCTGGTTTCAGCTGTGTTCTTCTCCCCTGTCCTGCATTGCCTAGCTCATCTGTCAACAATGCATTGGGCAAAAGTTACTCTGGTTTTCCAAAGGCAGTCGTGTGGCTCCGGCGTGACCAAGAGCAGAAGCTGCACCCACGAGTACAGCTCATTTGCATGTGGCACCTTTCCTGTCTTGCTCACATCTGCAAGATCAGTGGTCTAGAAATGACTGAAGCACAGCCCTCTTGCTGCGGTGGTGGGCGGTGACCAGATGGATGAGAGGGAGAGCCGTCTAAACCCTTCATTGTCCTCTTGCGGGGCTTGAGTGGTAGCAATGCCTGTCCCTTCAGTGGGCTTAAGCCGTCCCTCCCCGAGTATCTGCTACCATAACTAGCAGTTTTCCTCCTGTGAGAATTAATCTGATGATCAGCTTGATAGGATCTAGACCCTGGATCTGGGCATATCTGTAAGGAAGTTTCTCTACTGGGTTAATTAAGGTAGGAAGGCCCAATAATTGTGAGTGGCATCATCCGATGGGCTGAATAAGAAAGTGATCTGTTTCCTGCAGATGTAAATGAGACCAGCTTGCCCCAAACCCCTGCCAGCAGGACCTCCCTACCATGCCCAGTTGTACTCAAACCATGAGCCAAAATAAACCCTCCCTTCTTGTTTTTTTCCAATATTTTTGTCACAGCAACAAGAAAAATAATAAACAGACTCCCCAATCTGCCCCCAGTGCCCTCAGTTGTGCGGCATCTTTAATACAAGAGATTGGTGCTGGGAAATAAGAGGTCTACCTATGACATACATTTGAGTAATGGGTTACGAAGCACACGTCCACTGATATTTGAAATTTTTAACTGTATTTCTCTCTCTCTCCATGTATTTGCTTGTGGGGCTACATGTATGTGTGGGTGAACACGTTTGCACATGTCGGGGGGGGGGGTTCCAGAGTTGACACGTGTCTTCCTTGCTGGCTCACCACTACACGGGTTGAGCCGTGGTCTCTCTCGGTTGAAGCCGGAGCCGGCTGATAGTCTACCCATCTGGCTTGCTCCCAGAACCCTGCATCTGCCTCTTCAGCCCTGAGGCCTAGAGGTCTGAGCTCTAAAAATGCGAAAGCAAGGACCCGGGCCACTGAGCCAGCCGTCTTTCTCCACTCCGCTTGTGTCTTTAAATGAACTAATGCAGAGTATTTCGAAGGAAGGAGGCCGTGTGGGAAGGCAGGGCGGGGAACAGTACTGTGAAGCGAACAGTAGCGCTGCTGAGTGAGTGCCGGCTTTAGTAAGTGACTGTCATATTGTTAGCGAGTGAGCAGGAGTGGTATCACAGGGACGTGCGGTCCTTCATTTTTTTTTTTAATGGAAAATAAATGATAGGCACCTAGAAAATGTAAGGCAAAAGATAAGAAAGGTATCTGCTACAAAAGAACGCAGATAATAGTTGGATTGTTATGCAACAAAAACAAGTGTAAGGGCTAAGAGTGCAGCTCAGGGGTTGAGCTCTTATCTAGGATATGAAGCCTGGGTCCAATCCCTAGTACCACCAAAAAACAAAAACAAAAACAAACAAACAACAACAACAAAAGGGACTAATATACCCATATGCAGAGAAAAACACTTCCTGCGTTTATTTCCAAATTCAAATATTTGTTATTTAAAAAGAAAACAGGTTTGTCCTTACGAGTGACACATAAAATGGCTTATGTCACTTACAACCCCAGCACGGGGGTAGGGACAGAGAGGAGAAGAACCCCAGGGCTTGCTGAGAGCCAGCCTAGCTCTATGGACAAGGCCTGGGCTTGAGGGAAAAGCTGGAGAAAAGCAAGGAAGGTATTCCTAAAGAGAGATCCCTGAGGTTGACCTCTGGCCTCTCCATGCCGATTAGCGCGCACACACACACACACACACACACACACACACACACACACACACACACGTACCCACATACACAGATACAAAGCCAAAGCCTCAAATGAAATGTATTCATTTTATTTAAAAAAAAAAATACAATGAGTGCCATAACACGCAAGCGAGAGCCAGATTTTCCCCCTCAGGTTTTTTTTTTTGAGCCTAGCGGATGAATTTACTGCCATTTGCTGAGCTGCACGTCAGAGGGGCACATTTGGAGACTGGTCGGGTTTCGGGCAGAACGCAGTCTTGACCTTGTGACTGCAGGCTGTTTTGATTTAGTCGCCACAGACAACTTGAGCCTCGACATACGACCTTTCAAACACCACCGCCCCCTCCCCACCAGTCGCCCTGTCACGACCAGATCGCAGCGGTGCGCAGCTGCTCAGCGGGGCCGTGGCCCTGCCTCCTCCTGCTACAGTATTTACGTCTATTCCATTGAGAGGGGCCCTCTCTGCTCACGTGACCCAAAGGCAGGTCTCACTCCACCGGGAACAAACAGCCCGAACGCGGTCTGCGCGCTGGCCGCTTTGCACATGCTCTGTTTGGCCCCGTGAATCCTCACTTACTCATTGAGATTTCTATCGGTTTAAAGCGGCCTTCCAGCAGCTGAAGCTCTGGGGGCTGCAGTATTGTCCTGGCCGAGAGCCAAGGCAGAGCCCCCCCCCCCCCCAAGAAGACTGTTTTATTTTAGGGTTTTGGAACGTTTCTGTCTGTCTGCTCAGGGGACGGGTGTATACACACACGTGAGTATAGATGATGAATGGGGCTCCGAGAGTAGCTCTTCCTCCCCCACAGTTTTTATAGGAAGAGTATCTTTTCAACGGTGGGCTTGAAGGCAACCTGCAAATCTAAGGCACGCTTAATTCTCCAAGCCTCAGCCCCCGATGCTGGAGCCGACTGACGCGTTGGATGCAGCGTGTGGGATGGTTTTTCTCCCTCTCCGGAGCTCTGAATGTTTTCTGCCGTTCTGATGGTGAACGATGAGACAGGCTACCATGGATTTCAGCACCTCGTCTGTGTTTGATCAGCAAAAAGGTAAAACGATGCCTTCCTACACCCCCTGGTGCTGAGCACAGCAGTTTGTAAGGAAAGGCGTGTGTGTGTGTGTGTGTGTGTGTGTGTGTGTGTGTGTGTGTGTGTG